AAGTGACTTGTCAAAGTTTACTAGAGGATATTTTACCATAGAAACAATAGATAGGTTCAAGTAATACCATTGCATGGTCCAGAATGGCATCATAGAACTCCATCATAAATAACTAATCTGGTAGAGTTTATCTTATAAATTCCCAAAGCATGTGGATGCTTTAGGACTCACTGTGGATAAACTCTTCTTGGAATGTTGTTTGATTTGTTTTGCATGAGGTCACCTGGTAAGAGCTCCTTAGCTTATCTCAGTTGCTTACAAGAGTATAGATAAAACTGCCAAATGTTCTTCAAAACTTCCTTTGTGTACTGTTTAGTATTCTAACAGTATTTCCTATAACAAGGCTTTGAAAACTCCTAAGTGAAGGGAAAAAGATCTAACATTATATTAAAGCTATGAGTTTAGGACCCGAAGAATACTTGGTGTCTAGCAAAATCCATAACAATATTTTCTAGAGTAATCACTTATTTTTTAATTTTCTATAAATTCCCACTTATATCATGTGATAAATATTGTGATACTACACATAGTCCTTGAGAAATCTCACCCGTGAGATAATTAAGTTATAATAGTTAATAAGATATCATAGTGGAATCATCTTTATGAAGAGTTATTAAGGACTTTTCATTTTTGGGTTACATGACTCATGTTACCTAAACGGAGCCAAGTCTGTGAAGCTTACCACCGTTCTCACATTCTCACATACCTATTGTACGGGCACTATATATATATATATATATATTTTTTTTTTTTTCTTAAAAGGAATTCTAATAGCATATCAAGAATTATGTTAACAGTTTTTTTTTATATTTTTCATGTTTGTTAAATAATCCCGTTTGTTTATGATATAACGTCATTTGTATGACTCTATGAGGAGCAGAAAGACCATGGACAAACATCTTTTTTATTTTTTAGATTAAGAGATATTATTAGGTCCATTATTTCAACGTTCCTTTTAGTATCTCATCATCCCACAGGATGATGAAACATTGGGACACAAAACATGCACCACAAATGCATATTCTGCTAATTAACAACATTAAATGTCCTTGTTTAATGTATTGTTTTCACACTCAAAGCTTTTGCATCTTCCTCATTGTTGTACATGATGTAAAAAAGGTTTTGGCTTAGACTTTGTATTATATATTGTGTTTTTACAGGAGGGAGCCCCAAGCACCTGAGCCTGGGCACTCCCTCGCCCAGACAGTCCCATCCCAAGGCATAAGCCCAGGGGGCTCTGACAGCCCCCAGACAGGGAGTCTGGATCACAGGTCAGTCTCCACCTGCCCCTTCATTCTGGGCTGTCACTTAATCTCCAAGTCCCTTCCATGGCTGAGAACAGGGTCATTTAATGTCTGACTGACCCCCAGCGTTTGCTTAGAGGTGGTCCTGGTCCAGCCAGCACCAGCCAATTTTCTTCTGCCTTTCCATCCTGGAGAACACAAAGAGCTCTCCTACCCTGTCTAATGCATTTTTTTTTTTTTTTTGCATGTTGCGCTACAAGCCAAGTCAAGCCACATAGGCAGGTATATAGCTGTTTGATAAAGTTCCATCACTTCAGCCATCACAGCCTAGAGATATTAGGAAGTCCACTGTGAAGACACTTTTCAAGGGCAGATCCCTAGAAGGAACAACAATTGAGAGCTCTCTTCAGTGACCTCTAGTAAAGTGACCACAGCCTTCTGAAACGCTCCCTGAGACGGAGGAAAAGGTCCATCACATGCAAGTCAAGCCATGTGGCTGTAGGTTTCATGGAACAGCCATGACACCAGTCTTTTGAGCTTCTAAAATGTTGAGCTTCTAAAAAGTGAAAGGAATTCATGTCTCCTCCTGGAAGTGGCCAACCGCCTGTGGGTGATTCAGTTTGCTGTGTGGCTGTGTTTCACCTGTAACAGCTGCATGGGCTTTTTCTATGGTTCCCCAGGCCAGAGTGTTCACTAGTCTTCATCTGTGGCTGCACTTGCTTTTTGACTTATTATTTTTGTTCAGAGTCGCAGTGGAAATCTTTATGCAACTTTCAATTGGCTATCTCTGTGAAAAGCACAAGTTGGCAATGATTGTGGTTAAAGGCAAAACTAGTGCGAGTTGTTCTTGAGTCAGGGGACCCTGTCTTAGCAAAAATGGTCTTATAAGCATGAAAAGACCCCAATCCTTCTCCCAGGAGGGAACTTCATGATCTTATTTTTTGCTATACATTGGTTATAGCTAAAAACAAGGGAAAGGACTATGGAAAAATAATCAGATTTGTTTATCTAACTGTGGAAATGTCTTCTTGACTTAAATGTATTTACAAACTAAAACTAAATATGGAAGAAAGAAGCAAACTTTAACCACAAACGAAGAGTGTATTTTATAATTTCCTTTGGTTTGTTTCCAAATAACTTTAAAAGTTTTATAGAGCTTGGATCTTCATTGTCTATAGTGTCTCTAGAAGTTACTTTTTAAATGAGAAAACTCACTTAGCCTCCAAATTCTTTCAAGACTAAATTTGTTGAAACTGTATTTTACATGGGCAAATTCTAAGGGGATATACTTTGGGTTGGCTCCCAGGGTAAAAAGTCAAAGAAAATTCTGAAACAAAATAAAACAAAACAAAAACAAAACTTGCACTCCCAATTTTAATGCTTTTAAATTTTTCCTTTGTGCAGTAATTCTGACAGAGACTTTGCCCGATCCATAAGGGAAATGCTAATTAAGACCATTACTATCCATTGATGGTTACTCACAAGGTGATCAGACTCTCAGAAGGCAACCTCTGTGTGCTGTTTCCTAATGAAAACGGAAATACTTTAGTCTGGAGTGTATCAAGAGGAAGAAGGAGCATTGCAGCTGCACCATAATTACTCAACCCAGCTTCAAGCTGCGTTTGGACCATACTTAATGTGTGTTGGGTCTCCAGGATTAGAAGACTGGGTGCTTTTCTCCTCCTTATAGAGCCATTTGGAGCACCGTTCTTGTTAATTCCAGCTTGGGATCTGGTATCAGGAGAAAGAGGCCATGTAAAGTGTTTCTTTGAAGGGTTCTTGGGGTGTTATATGCCCAAACATCAGGTTGGAAATGCAGCCATCTGAATATTCTCAGAAAGCACTATTACATTATCATTTGAAAACCAAAGAACCAAATGAGAGGTGGCCTGGAAAATGCCACTTTGGAGGTGGGTTAATGGAACTGCCAATAGTGTTATGATTGAAAGAGAACTTCTGAGTCACTTTGGGAAACCACTGGAAAGGCTTTCCTGAAATGTGGAACACATTTTAGAATGCCTTGAGCCTTGTTGTAGCTGAGTTTATTCTCATGTGATTGTTACAGACTGCCTCATAATCACCCAACATCTATCCTGGTTTATTTGCCATAGTCACTTGCATTTGGAGGGTGAAGAACATCCTTGCTAAGCTTGTGCTGTGTATTTTCAGATTTCTATCTTGTTCTGCTTTCTTTGTTCCTTCCATTGCTTTCTGCAGGTATTTAAATCCATGGTTCAAAAGAGACTATAATGTAGCTAAGTGGGTAGAAGATGTGAATAAAAACACTGAAGGACCATACTTTAGGTATTTTATAAATTAATTTTATATCCTTTTCAAACTCTCCCAGCACATACAAATACTGTAGTGTGACTGGCTCTCTATCTTGTATCTCCCAATACAAGTTCCCAGAGGTGGAAAAGGGGTCCCTATTTCTTTGCTGCCTTTTGATCTCTTTTTTTGGCTTCGTGAGCAAGTCTAGTTCTTTTCTGAATGTTTCAAATGAAGCCATTTGAAAGGGTTGCCATTTAGTGCATGTCTCTATCACTATCTTGAGCTTTTTAGTAGCTTTCTCTTCATTTTATGCTACGTAGTGTTCTTTGGGCATGAAACATACTTTCCACTAATAAAGAAGCACTATTAACCTGAGCAATTTAATTTCTAGAATTTAGTAGTTCCATAGTGCATTTTTCCTACTTACTGCCTTAAGAGTGCATAGTACATATGAAAATATGAGAACTCAAAGGAAAACATGAGGAGAAACTAAATGCAATGTAGTGGAATTTTACTTCGAGTAACAACTGTGATTTGATGTAATTCAAAAGTTATTGAGAGAATATTGACCACATGAGCATGTATGGAATGAGTTTAGGCTTTAGTTGTTCAGTACAACCATTTGCTGCCAGAGAAGGGCTGTGCTGATAAGTGTTTTACAGATTTGCAACAGAGCATCTAAGGAATTTTTTATTCCATTAAAAATGTTGCCTAACACTTCACATAGAACAGGAAGCAGATCGGAAATGTTCCTGATTCAGAAAAAAGCAGACAGGGTGTCTGCATTTCAGAATCTAGTGAATTTACTCAATTCACTGCAGCTCTGTGTAACATTAGAGGTCAGCGAGAATTTCCAAGAGCTCTTAAAGGCATTTTTTCACTCTTTATAATACCAACGTGATTTCCTAGAAATAAATATTCACTTTCTATCTGACTACTTTGTGACAACTAATGTAAAGAAGAAATATAGACTCAACTGCTACCTCTTCTGAATATAACAATAAGCTTTCAGATTATTTATTGCCATGACTTGGGTCAACATTTAACGAATATAAAAATATGTATGTGTATTTAACTCTCAGCACCCATATAAGGTGGACTTTCTCTTCCTGTGTACCATTTAGTTTAGAAATGTACAGTTTGAGAAAATGATTAGACTTACCTGCATTTTAATTTGATTCATACATTTGCATATGCCCCAAGGAAAGCATAACCCCTGCCTGCTCACAAAAAAATATATCCTGCTTTTATACCCCACCTTTCCCTCCTGCCCTGTCCCTCCGCTTCTACCACTTTCCCAATGAACCTCATATACATACACTCACATTCAAACATCCCACCCTCACCTGTAGCTCCCAAGATGGCCAACGTCAGGAAGACAGGTAAGATGGTTTTCAGTGTTATTTGGAATCTTGGCTCACCTGCAGTTGTATTTCTCCTTTCTGTCTTCCTCAGGCTTGTGGGCAGATTGTAATTGGTATCAGCCATAGAACCAAAACAAAATGACTTTGGTCCCTTATGGGCTAGGGCTTTTATGCCTAAATGGACTTAGCATTTTTGCAGCAACAATTTATGAAATGGTACCCCGGAAGAGTTGATTCACCTCCCCTGGGTGAGCTGAGTAGTTTATGTGGCTCCTAGAGAAGAGTTCACATTTGTTAAAATCAGCACCCAGGTCTGCCCAGAAGCTGCATGACTAAACGCAATTTGGATGGGGAAATGCTTTAGCACCCCTGGTTGCACGTGCAAAGCTGCAAGGGCAATTTTAGAAGGTTCCTTTATCTCCTCTTTTAATATTAGATGTGGGTTCCTACAACGGATAGTCACATTAAGAATTAATTATTAAAAATCCATATTTAGTGTTTAGAGGCTAGATAGAATTCAGTGGAGGGTTATAAGTTATGTCATGTTGGGGTTGTTAAGAGTTACACTGGTCAGACTTGAAAATCAATACAGAATTTCTGTGCAAGTGGTGAATAAGTGAGATACCCTAGGGGTTTTAACACAATGATTCTAATGCAACAGAGAGAATTTTACCCACTCTCTATCTAAGCAAGCCTCCCATAAGAGGCCCGAAGTGCATCCACACCTTGGCTTGTGCTTAAGCTTGGGTCTACTTCCCCTGTCAGGTCATTTAGGATTACTTCTCTTGCCAAATCCATCAATGAGGGCAAAGTTCACTTTATCAATCATCTGTGTAGTGTGAGGTTTGTAGCGTCCTTATCAAAATACAATGGGGACTTTGTGACTGTAGCAAACTGGTCCAAAATCCAGCCCAGCATTTAAAATATAGTATCCACATCACTAAGAAGAGCAAAGCAAATGCCAAAAGGCTTCGACCGATCAGAGTGCCTCGGTCATGCTCCCTTGCCCCATTCTCATATAACAGTAGTCACTCAAGTTGTTGGCATATGTTCGGGACATCAGGAGGGAGCGGGTGGGGTTGGAGCAAGAGCATTCTCTCCCAACATCTAGATCCTTGGGGCAGTTCCATTGGTGACAGAGCTTTACAAGCTCTTAGAAGGTATCCTTACTCTTGGGTTTTATTGAATTGATTACTCACTTCATCAGTGGTTTTTGAGTCCACTTCCATGACCTTATAGAAAATGCAGTAACTCTGAAAGGAAACTATTAATAATAATGGTCATGTATTGATTGCCTACTATGTACCTTTATTTCTCACAACATTATGAGATGTAGGCATTCTTATTTCTTTTCTATAAATGGAGGAAACTGAGGCACAAAGAATAACAAGGTAGTGTGGCTAGTGTCAGAACCAGAATTACGAACCCGGCTCTATCTGACCCCAAAAACTGTTCCCTTTCCATTTCACTGTAATTACATAAAAGTAGCAGAGTGGATAGTGATTACTTACAAGCTATCCTAGGAGACTTTATAAATCTTTCTGGATTAGGCTACTATAAAATTTGCATATAAACACAGCCAAATGAATAAGAGGTGGTCCTGTGTCCCATGTATGTGACTGGCCTGGTTTTAGCTTGTTCTAGGGGGCAAAACTTAACTGAGATTGGCCTTATAGGCATATCTGCTAAAGGCAAGCCCAGGAAGTCTGAGATAGCCCCACGATACATCACAGTCCACTGGCACACAGACATAGTTTCATTCTGTAATTCTAAATGGCACCCACTATAGTTATTGTGGTTTTTAAAAACATGGTGATGATAATGGTTAGCATTTGTCCAAAGATTACTTTGTAAATGAGTGAGCTGGGCTGGTGCCTGGTTTTCAGTGAAAGCCAGATTGGAAACACTAGGCAAGTAGCCTGAGTCAGAAAAGGGCCTAGAGGTGGTTTTAAGGAAATGTCTTTCTTAGGCATTTGTGAGAAATGTTGAGTTTGTTTTTGTTTTCCCTAAACTGATTTACCCAACTCTTATTCTGACTCCTGATCTTGTGCTCTCATCCCCCTAAGATAATCTCCTTTATTCTGTCACACTCCACTTAGCTTCCAGGACCCAAAGCCCCTCACGGGACTAAAACCATCCTGCTTGGCCTCTCTCCCCTCTGAAGGTCCAAAGTGCCAGTTAACTAGTGTGTTTATGTGGGAAGTGGTATGTGTGCAATTTCTCTGGGATTCTGGAAAATACCTCCTGTTTTGTTTTAATTCATTATCGGCTTTGGTCATGGAAAGATATTTGAGGGGAGGACTGGCCTTTCAGCACCCCTCATTGGGATTGCCTTGTATGTGAACAAAGCTGGTCATTTGGACCCATGGCCAAGCGAATGGCTGGCATGACTTTGAAGCTATAAGCTAATAGCTCATGCTGTGGGCACACATATTGCAGCAAATTAAACTCATTTTGCATGATCCACTGAAGTAACTGAGATTTACTTGTTTGTGTACTTGACTAGCTTTCTTGAACTTAGTTATCTTATCAATAGTGATTAGTCTGAAAATTTGAACCCAAGTTAATATCTCTTGTTTTAGAAAGATGTATTTAAATATCTAAATACAACAGTTTGTCCTCATTTTACACCTACTTCAGTAGTGTATTGCATTAACAGATTTGGAGGATCTGAAGTACTGATAGTCTTAGTTCCGCCCAGCCGCTCCGCAGTGGAGAGCATTCACATGAGAAGTAAAACAGATGAAATAGTCTAACAGTTCACACTAAGGAGCAGTCGTAGACATTTTCTAAAAATAGAGGAAATGTTAGGAATTACAGATTAAAAGTAAACCGAATAACTCATGATTCTTAAAATTCAGCAAGAATGTTCATTTTGATCTCGAGGTTTATAGAAAAAATTATTTTAAAAGATTGGCTTGAATTTGGTGTCTATAAAATAGAAACTGATTTGAAAATTATAGCAGAACCCAAGCAAAGGGTAAAATATGCACTAGAACTAAAATTTTAAATAAAGGAGAAAAAAAAAGACATCTTTATGCTGTTGCATGCAGTGTAGGTAGTAGGCCTTCCCCCACCCAGTATCACCCCACTACCAACCCTTCCGGGCTGAGTCCGTCACTCATGGGATGCAGGTGCATCCCACTGGAAGGAGTGCATGTGCTCTAACATGGCAGTGTAACCAGGTCAGTGGTGTGGCTTGTGACCACCTTGCACCAGGAATTGAGGAGTCACAGATCCGTAGTAGTAACATCTGTGAGTGGATAGCGGCTGCCAAATTATCACATCTATTTCCCATTGACATGGTGTAAGTTGACTCTTTTCACTCTCAGCTGTTGTTTTCACTTTAAAGACAAGATGGTAGATAATGGGCTCTTCCAGTGTGCTCAGCTTAGGCACATGCTGAATCAAACAAGAACAGCATAATACACCAAGCACTTATGCAGATCTTTCATATGGAGTATCTCCATGATGAAGAAGAGAAAACATATTATCCAGATAGGAAGGGTTCTTGGCATTGTGTTTTGTTTTAGTTTTAGTAAAATTCCAGTCAATAAAATGTAGCCACCTTATTGACGTGACAAGTATACCGTACATGAGTTATCAAGATCTACTTTTATGGCTTAGAATCATCCCCTGTACAGAAATGTGAATTGTAGGGACTAATCAGGCCATTTTTGTATGTTCTCATCAGACTCTTTGTTTGGCTGGAACTCTGCACTCCTTACTGCTTGCATGTTTACTAATTTATTATTAAAACCTCTGTATTTGCCTTTGTTCTTTCACAACTAACACACTGGTCTCTGAATGCATGAGTTTTGTGTAAACTGGTGTGTGACTTAGCAACTAATAAATGTATCAATTGTATTGTATTTTCGGACCTTAAAGATATAATTGGAATAACTACTAAAAATATCTTTTAGGTTAAATGGTAAATATAAGGCAGAATATTGATATGCTGTACATGTAATTTACCATTATGAGCTCTTAGAATAATTTTATCCCTTCTCCATTTTAGCTTTTTATCTATTCTATAGGAAACTGCATAATTGGCTTTCTAGTTGAAAAGTATGATTCTGTATACCAACATTTAGGCAACCCATTACAGTTATGAAATTGGAAAGATAAAATTCTAGCATGCCAGTATTCCAGCATTGCAAATGACAGATTATCTCCTGATAGCTAAACCTTTGCAATAATAGCCTATGAAAATAGAAATTAGAGGGTTTATTCTGAACCCAATTTTCAGATACTTGCAAAAGATATTAGGCAATCACATAATATTTCATGTGTTCTCAACGTCTCAGGACTTTATCTCCTGCCAAGTCTCCTTCTTCATCAACTGGGTCTATTGCTTCCAGCAGAAAATACCCCTACCCAATGCCTCCACTTCCCGACGAGGAGAAGAAAGTGAACCGACAAAGTGCCAGGGTATGTGAAGACTTCTTCCTTCCATATGCTGACATCCTTGGTCATTATCATTTATCTATGAGTTCATATTTTAAAAGAGTCCCCTTTCCTTCTTTGTTCATAAGCAAATAAATTTGAAAAATAGAAGATTCTCGGGCTTTTTGACTCAGATTTATATTTGCACTTTAGTTTAATTACATTGATAAATTCTAGAAATAATCAGTCCTTGCTATATATTTATATCTTTTATTATTAATTGTAGCTAATACATTACAACCTGGAATAGGTAATGCAGAGAATATATTTTGCTCTATCTTTTTTTTTTTTTAATGTACCCAGACATGCAAGAGATTAAGTAAACTAGCTTTATTTCCATGCCCAGTTTGCTTACTCAGACCTTTCCACCTGCTGAAAACACCCAATAGGATTTTAGAAGTAGGAACCCATGGCAGTAAATCAGGTTAATGTCTTAGAGAAGGGGGTGGAATTTGGATACAAGGAAAGGGGACTTCGAAATCTGTAATATGTAGTGTATGGCAAAGGGTATGGTGAAATTTAGCAACATTTTGTGTTTTTAAAAAGCCAGATTTAAAAGCGTATATGGAGTTGATTATTTTTATAAAAATACAATTTATCAGAAGTTTCCTTTAAACACTAAGTCTTCTTTTACATTTTAATCATGATTCTAATCAGTTTCACAATGTTCCCAGAACAGATCCATTATATGAAACTGGAAATACAGTTGAGTTTAGAGAGGCAGACCAGCCCTCAGAGACTTAAGTGAAAAATTTAACTGAAGAATAATTACCTTTATTGATGTCCAGGCTTTGTTTTGGTCAGTTACATTATAATGACCTCAGAAAAAATTTTGCAAAAAAATTAAATAAAACAAAGCTTTAAAAGCCTGAATGGATTCATCTGCTAGTGGGTTCTGGGTTCCTAAGCCTTTTGGTTTTGAAAGATGTTTCAGAGCCTCTTTGATCCTGAACTTAAATCATGGGGTTCAAGGTAAACATGGATCAAATTTTAACTCCATCAACTCCGAGTCAGTAAGAAAACATGACTCATTAAAAGCTGATCAGGTCACTATAATCAAAAAGACTTTAAAAATGATCAGTGGTGTTTTGATAATCATACAAAATATTACCATGATATGTTAACATGGGAAATAGTAAAAAATGGAAGTGAAGAAGAAAACTCCGATTTTCAGCATTCAGGCCTTAAAAAAACTTTTAATGGTTAGCTCGTTGTTCATGATATGAGTATGTGATAATGAAATCTAAAGTGATATAATTCCTACTTCCCTAGGGAATGGCCAAAATATAGCACCCCACTTTATTCCTTCAAGAAATCATCTATATTGTTACTATGCTCTTTGTAGTTAGAGACCATCTCTTAGCTGTCATCATGCCAGGGTGTAATTTATTGCAGATTTTCCCACATGAGAACTTTTGAAAAAGACAGCTCCACAGAGGAAATGGCTGACCATAGCCCCTGCCCTGGGCTGAGTGGGGCAACTGTGAAGACTGTAGCCTCTGAGACAGGTCTGGTTGGTTCCATCCACTATAGTACGTCCATATGAGCATGCACTAGAATCCTGCAGAAGAGACAGCTCCTGTCTCTGGGCTGTCTTTGTGGACTATGGAGACTCAAACGAGCAGATCTTTCTATCAGCAACCCCTCTTACAGTCATCAGACATGGCCAAGGTCATGTGTATTCCTAAAAGTGATGGCTTGGCAGTTCTTTGTTCCTTTGTCCTCACTGGAATAATCATGACCTTCAGGTTTTCCCAGGGTCATTCTTTGTTCCTCTCTTCTTTCTGCAAGCTGTAACTTAAAATTTAATCTTCATCATCATTTGTGAGGAAACTGGGTTCACTGAAGTCTGAAGTCTTTATTACTCCATACCAGCCTCTGAGCATCCGTCCGGATGTTTGTTCCCTCAGACCCCCTGCAAGCTCCCTGTTTAACCATCCATTTTCACATGTCTCCACTGACAGGTATCATCCACACACAAAGGTCCTCACAGTTGAGGGATTTAGTTTCCAAAGGGTACGGAGGTGGCTGTCTTTTTAAATGAAAATGATGTATAAAGCTAACCTAAGGCAGATAACTTAGGCGGCTTCATCACAGCCCTGTGAGGTAGCCAACTCTGACATTCTGAACGAGATTTCCATGAAGATTCAAGAAAATATATTAAGTGAACCTATATAGAAATAGCCACTCAGTCACTTAGCTATTTCTTCTTTTTCTTTCCCAGAAACTCATTAGGTATGTAATGACATGCCCCGGATTTCCAGTAAAAATAGAATTTGGATGGAAATTGGATGCAGCCTAAGTCACATTTAGGCTTTCTTTGTTCATATTTATAATTATTATACCAAATTATATTGTTTGGAAATATTTTATCAGCTTGATCTTTTTTTTTTTTTATAATTGGCTTTCCTTCTCTGGCGAACTGAGTTGCATTCATATTTAATTATGCCAAAGTTGTTTCTAGTCCATTAAGGCAATTACTGAACGTCATATAAATTAGACATGAACAAGGCGAATATGAAGAACTGGTGGTAGAAGCAAGGAGAGGGTAGAGGTGAAGGAGTTAAAAAAATTGACATCCTGCCCTGGATTGTATTCTGATATGTCAGCTCCTGAGAGAGGACAGTTGTCTAGGAGGTAGAGATGGAACTGGAGGGTACACAGCCTGGTAATTGGTGCAGGGCAGTGCTTGTGCCCTGCACCAATTACCAGGTAGAGGTGACGTTGATAGAATCATACTTCCCTGGGGTCAGTAGTTCTCAGTGTTGACTATATATGAGATTGTCTAAGGGACTTTTAAAATACACATTAAATGAACATGTGAGGATTTTCTTGTATTAAAAGGATTGTTAAAAAGGTTGAGGTAGATTTAGAGGAAAAAAGAGCTAAAAATTGGTGTTTATCAATTTATTAGACTTTGCAAGAGTTTGCATCCACAGTCATGTAAGTATGAATGGAATCACTAAATCTTTTTTTATCTACATGACTGAGAATACATTTGTTTCCTGCTTTCACAATGTGCAATTTTACTTTTCTCTGTCGTGCAGCTATGGGAGACATCCATTTAAGATCAACTGTTTACATGTGATACATCGAAACTGTTTACTTCAACTTTTATAGAAACCCACCCTCACGGAATCACTGCAAATCTATCTGCTCTTCAGTCGATACAAAAACTCTCTGAAATGTCACAGAGGAGAGGAAGCTGAATCTCACATCTGGATACCATTTTCTTTTTGTCATTGGCTTAGGATTTAACTGAACCATGAAAAGAACTACTGAAATGTTACACTATAACATGGAACAGTAAAGGTACTGGTATGTTAATGGATAACCCGCATGACAGATATATGTAGAAATACCACTTAAATTAACTCACATGACCCAAATGTAGCAAGTTTCCTAAGGGACAGTAGTAGATTCAGAACCTGACGTTCTGAAGCACATCTTCATTGTAGACAGTAATGCTATGTGCATGAAGCTTCTGTTTATTATTTTCCACATTTAAGGAAAAAACATCCCATAATAGCAACTAGCATGCAGGGCTAAGACATATAGGATTTTTCTGCAGGACTTTAAAGCTTTGAGAGGCCAATATCCCCTATGCCAACTTCAAACATGTATTTTTATTTTTGTTTTGTTTTTTACTTTTCATATTTATATCAGCACACAAGGACAATTGTACATATGTAAACATTTTTAAAATAAAAGAAGCAGCTATTACAGTGTATTTTGCCAAATGCCTAAAAACAATCAGTCACAGTCACATCATTGTCATCCATCAAATGGTCTTTAAAGATTATAAGCAGAAGATGTTGTAAATATAGTAGTCAATGCTGTAAATGTGTCTCTCCATAATTGGTATTTGTCTAAAACGCGACATCCCTTTAAACTGCGCATACTCTGGAGGCAGTTTTATCAAATAATTAATTAAACAAGAGAACGCACGCCCAGCAAAACTTGTGACCTCCACAGCTTGCTGGGGTAGGAGTCCAGTATTGGTTCTGCTGTCCTGCCTGCAGGCACTTTGCTGCTGATTGCTGCTCCTTGGGAGTCCCCCAGCCTGTCTGCTTTCCTTCTAGGGCTGCAGTGGGTATCTCAGCAGCTGTTATCTTTCAGTACCAGAGCACATCTGTTAGTCTCACCCTGCAGATCTGCGAGGCCCCAGTATGTCC